CACAAACGTAATACCCTTGTGTAACCAGCAGAAGTGGCCGGTGCCCAAAAGCCACCCAGGCTCCTCCTGGCCATGAGGCCCCAAGGGACAGCCACCCTAACAGCCCACCTGTGACTGCACGTGCCGGGGGTCGGGCCCTGTGTTCTCCGTGTCTCTCTTGCCCCTGCCTGTGCGGCTGAGGCCGGCTCAGACTGGGTGCCCCGGAATCTTCCAGCAGGGAACATGCTGCCATCAAGGATCCAGGCTCCTGCCTGCGGGCCGGCTGGTTACCGGTTTCACTGTGAAAACGTCCCAGTGCCGATCCCCTGGGGAGCAGACACGTGCACTCCCACTGGGTCCTTAGAACTATCTTTTATTGGCAAATAAAAAGAACTACCAAGCGCATGAGCCCCTACATTTCCCTTCCCCATTCCCACATCCCCTTTCTTCAACTCAGCCACGGTGCTGGTGACTTGGTCATGCCTTCTCTCCTCCCCCTGGGAACCGCCCGGAGGGAAGGTCCAGGGGGCCGGCAGGCAGCCCAGGGAGGCTCCCTGCTCTGGGCTTGCTCCCAGCCCCTGAAAGCTGAGATGGACAAAGAGGGGCGAGCCCCCCTCCAGGCAGGCAGGACCCCGAGCGATGCCAGCTGCAAAGGGCTCTTCGGGTGGTGGCTGCATGGTCAGCGGCCCCAACATCTGGCAGGGGGAAGGAGGCACCCAGGGGCACGAGTAGCTCCCTGCTCGTTCTGTCCTCAGCCTCTCAGGTGGGTTCCGGACCCACGCTCTCGCTGGGAAGACCACAGCCAGGAGGTGCTGGGCCGGGCTCCAGCCAGGTATGCTGACCGGCCCGGGCGGTGGAGACCCAGGAACGTGCCCCCGCCACCGCCCCAGACTCTCCAAGCCCCTGCAGCAGTAGCGGGGCTGACCGCCACCAGGAGACATACACCTGCGGCCTCCTCTGGTGCCCTATCCCGTTCCAGGACCTCGAAGGGTTCTCTCTACATTTCTGAGGGGCAGCTCCACTCCGGGATTTCCATCAGGTCTGCTCAGCCCTCCGTCTAGTGCGATGGGAAAGGTGAGTACGGCTGCTCACTGGGGTCTGGATCCTGATGTCTGCCTTGTACTTCTCTTCCCCAGCCCTGGCTCCCTCACACCAGAGCACACAGCTGGGGGCAGGAGGGAGGTAACAGGCAGAAAAGGGTTTGGGGAGGGGAGCAATATGCTTCCCCTACTGATGCTCATGGAACCTCCAGGGAAAACAGCCACATGGGGCCCTGGGCCGAGGCAATGGATCCAACAGGATTCACAGAGATGGGGCTAGACCGTAGGGAGTGTATTCCTGGCGATGCAACAAGACCCCCCTTCCTGTCTTTACTCCCCAGCCACACAGGTGAGCCCTGAACACACCCTCCCTGCGCCCCTTCCCCCACCTACAAGACCTCCTACCAAGCAACAGCTTCAGAGCTAGCCCTGATTTCCCCACATAGCCCACCTGTGATCCCTCAGCTCCCTACCCCTCCGCTGGGCCAGGGCCCTCCCAGAGGTGAGCATCTGCCCTCCCTACTGCAGGACAGGAGGGCATGGGTGAGGTCCTGCCCTGCTGGCATGCTCCCACACTTCAGGCCGCTGCCCTGACTTTTGCTCTGTGAGCCAGCTGTTACTGACCTATCTTTGGATCAACTCACCGGTTGTGTTGTGCTCCTGGTAAGCAATAAAACCTACAAGTCCCATGGTCGTGGGGCTCATTCTTGCTCAGGTGGACATTAAAGGAACAGTGACATTCTGAGAAGTGCCTCTCCTGCGGGAGAACTTGCCAGACTGTGATGGAACCCAGGGCAGCGTCCCGGGGCCGCATCGTCACACCTGTCCTTATTAGACACCATGTACACACAGTAGGTGCTTAGTAAGCGGCTCACGTTTGCAGTGGAAACCTCACTAGCTGCCTCTGGGGTCCTCGGCACACCCATTCTCTTACTGGGTGGGCCCAGGGCGTGGGCTCCCGGCACCTGCCAGGGTCCTCGCAGCCACCAATGAGATGGGCAGGACAGCTACAGTCTCTGTTTGGCAAACGGAGGAACTGGGGGAGTGAGTTTCAACTGCTCAGGATTTCCCAGCTTCTCAGCTGTCTTTGTCCCCCTGGCGCACGAGTGTAAGGCTTGGTGATTACAAGTGGGTAAGCACTGTGAAAACCTGTTTAGAGTGGATGTACTCAACGGGTGTGCCCCACCCTGGGGCACAAACCGCACCAGTGGCCTCCTGAGTCAGGCTTAGGTCCCATCGCAACTGCTCCCCTTCTCCAACCTTTTGCAAGCGCCCTCCACTTTGGACGAGACACCAAGGAATGAACAGTAGGGCCAGCATTCCTGGACCTGTCTGCCCCGTGTATTTTTAGCCTCTGCCTTGCCTGGGCATTTGCCCCATAGCTAATGTCCTCAGGGAACCACGTACTTGCACCCCAAGGGGTCTGGCAGGCTCTCAGAGGTCTCCGGAACTCCCCCCGCCCCGGTCCTGAGGCTTCAGCTCTAATTCTCTTTTCCCAAGACAGAACCAGCTTCTGTTAGTGAAGACTGCATCCCCACCTCCACCCCAAAGAACTTGGGGCTCCAAAAACCAGGATCTGGGAGACAGAGAAGCTGTGAGGTTGGGCAAATCATATTCTAGACCCATAAAGTGCGGGGGAGGATGGCCTCGCTGTAAGGGGGAACAATCAGGAGACCTGGGGTGGCAGCTACTCGGGACAGGTGCACCCCCAGGGAAAGGCTGTGCTAAGGGAGAGTCCCATCTCACTTCTAGGAGGACACCCCCATCCCCAGAGATCTCTCCTAGTGGGGCTGGACTAGTTCCACAGCTCGGACCCTCCTCACCAGCGCAATCTTCTCACGTGCCAAGAACCGATTCTAAAACGCACAGGTCTTAGCAGATGCCTCCTGAAGACTTTTCCACGTCTGCTCCCTCCTCGCTGCTCCCTGTTCCCAAAGCCATTACTGTTCCGGGCCTGGATGTCGCCGGGTGCTGGCGGGAGCCTGTCCCGGGCAGGGTCTCCATCCTCCCTCACCAGAGGAGGGGAGTCGGAGTCCCGTCCCAGCGGCGGGTCACGTTCTCCGCAGCGGGTCGTTCCCTTGCTTGACTCTCACGGTAAGAAACACACTTTACATCTTGGCCGACCCCAGGGTCAGCAGTCACACGTGTAAGCGGTCCCCTGCGGGGGATGTTCTGGCATTTTCTAGGTTACCCCGTTTCCTTTCTACAAAATGCCGGCCAGCCTCCACCGACCTTCCTTCGGGACCCGACACTGGCCCCGCATCTGCCGGGCCGGGGCAGGAGGGAGCCCGACAGACCCGCGCGCGCGCCGAGCCGCCGACCAGCCAGGTCCCGCTGCGCCTCCCCGGGCGGACGCCCGAGACGCCCAGGACGCCGGCGGGCGGGAGCCGGGCCGGCCGGGCCAGGCGGGGCCGCGAGGCGCTGGAGGCGGGCTGCGATTTGTGTTAAGGGGCGCGAGGCCGCCGCGGGTGTGGGGGAAGGGAACTGAGAGGCGCCGCGCTCAGCACTTTATATTTAGCGGCTGACGCGCCGGAAGCGCTCCCGCCCGCCGCTGCCACGGCGCCCCGCGCCCACAGGGCGGTCCCCGCCTCCCCGCCGCCGCTCGGGCCCCGTCCCCGACCCCCCCTTCTCTCAGCGGGCAGGGACTCCTGGCCCTCCGGGTCTACCTCGAGGGACAGGGACCCCGAACCCGCAGTCGCCTCCCGGGACAGGGACCCCGACCCCCGCCTCCGCTCGGCGGACAGGGACTCCCGGCCCCCGCCTGCACCGCGCGGGACAGAGACCCCGAGCCCCGCCTCCGCATCGCGCTCAGGGACCCCGGCCTGCGGGCGCTGGAGAAGGGGCGGGCATACCCCGGCCGGGCGGCCTTCCAACCCGGAGCAGGGGAAGCTGTCCTGGCCTCTTCCGCAAGGCAGATGCCTGACTGGGGGTCCGCCGCTCGCAGGCTAGCCGCACCGCGACCCCGCAGGGCCCAGGCGCTCCGCCCCCAGCCCCGCCCCTCCGCCCCCAGCCCCGCCCCTCCGCCCGCCGGCCCCGCCCTCCAGGCACGCGCACGCGCGCTCCGCCCCTCCCGATACCCACCCCTTCTCCGCCCCCCCCCTCCTCACCCCCTCCCGCGCCGCCCCGACCCCTGAGCCTGCCCGCCCGGTCTCGTGCTCCCACTTCGCGCAGGGCCCGCCGGGAGTCGGCTGAGGAGGGGGCGGAGAGCCGGGGAAAGCCCGTCCGGGCCCCCGGCGCCGGCTGCGCAGGCGTGGAGGGCGGGCCCGCCCCTAGGCCCGCGGCGCGGCCATATTTAAAGGGAGGCCGGCGCGGCGAGCCAATGGGCGCCGAGCGTGCGGGGGTGGGGCGTGGCGGCGCGAGGCCCCGGATGTGGCTGCTGCGGCCCCTCCTCCCCCGCGCTCCCCTCAGAGCCCCAGGCCGCGCGCCGCCGCTCGCCCGCTGGTCCCAGCGCAGGCCCGTCGGGCGGCGGTGAGGAGGCGCCGAGGCGGAGGAGCGGGCGGCGGCGGCGGCGAGGCGACCGCGCGGAGGCGAGCGGGCCGGGCCCAGCCGGGCAGCCGCCGCCATGAGCGGCTCCTCGGGCACCCCGTACCTGGGCAGCAAGATCAGCCTCATCTCCAAGGCGCAGATCCGCTACGAGGGCATCCTCTACACCATCGACACGGACAACTCCACCGTGGCGCTCGCCAAAGGTAGCGGCCCGCGGCCGCCCCAACCGCCCCGGCCCCCGCCCGCCAGCAGCCCGCGGCGCCCCCCGCCCCCCGCGGCGCCCCCCGCGGCGC